GATGCACTATTCTTTACCATGTTATTCTGCACACCTTAGCTGCTTCATTATTTCCTCTTGCCTTCTTTCTGGGTTTCTCACTTTTGCTTAGCCCTCCTTGGATCTGTTCCCTTGGCTCTCCTCATTTTTTATTGCTAATGTATAACTGCATCCTGAAGCTCTAATATGTCTTGCTTTCCCAACCTTCTGGGTCTTTCTCTTGTCTGATAAAATGGCCAAAATCAGAATTCCAGTCATTGCGGAAAGCCCAGCAGTATTCTTCAAGATGCTCAGGGAAGGCCGTATGTTCTCCTGCTGCCTTCTCCACTGGGATATGCTGTTCTTTCCTTTATTTCCCAAATACCATTAGTACAAGGTTTTCTTGAGCATTCACTGAGCAATTTAGGGTAACAGAGAGGTCTTATAGCACAGAACAGTCTAAAATCTAAATCTGAATGCTTTATGTCACTGTTCTTACATGTTACTTGGCCATCCCTATAACCAAGAATGTGGCCTTTAGCCATAGATCTGGCTAAGCAATGATCAGTGATTTAAGTTAATGTCTTTAGACCTAAAATGATGCTGTATTATACATCATGAAGAGATTCTAAAGAGGAAATCAGAAAATAAACTGGGTCTTGTAAAGGAAACTTGACTTTAAAAAGTTACTTTTTAAGAATACTTTTCGCCCTGGCTGGCGTAGCTCAGTGGATTGAGTGTGGGCTGCGAACCAAAGTGTCCCAGGTTCAATTCCCAGTCAGGATACATGCCTGGGTTGCACAAGGCCATGACCCCCAGCAACCGCACATTGATGTTTCTCTCTCTCTCTATCTCCCTCCCTTCCCTCTCTAAAAATAAATAAATAAAATCTTAAAAAAAAGAACACTTTTCTATTAGTAAAAATTAGGGAAGAGATGTTTAATTTTCAAAATACTTGTTTTTGTATAATGAAAGTAGCCAAGCTGCCCCTGAATGTTTTTATTAAGGTCATATTCTGATAAAATTAAGATCAGAAAGAAAATGTTTACTCAGTGTATTTTTTTTTAATAATTCAGTTGATTTGATGACTTTGTTAGACGTGTGGAGTGGCTAACCCACCTCACACATTTAGTATTAATATATGACATTCCCTAACTTCCAAAATCTATTACATATTAAAACACTAAACCTTTAAGTAACTTTACATGATTCATAAATAGTTTTTACATTGTGTTAACATTTTAATTTTTAAATTTAAAAATATAAATGCATTATTGACAAGTACTTTGTATTTAAAGAAAACAGAAGCCTGGATGTGGTATACATTAATTACATAGTGAAGTGTGGTATTTCTGGAGTATGCAATTTTAGAGTAGTAAACATTGTAATTTCAAGCACTTAGAGCAATGAAATATTTCTGTTTCACTCATTTACTTTTTAGTAAACTTTACTTTTTGTAGTTATTTACTTATTTTCCACCACAGTGTGTCAATATTGTTCATTTATACAGAAGGGATTCTCTGTTATCAATCCAGTTGTTTGTGAGGACTGGGACCATGGTCACAGTTCGGTTACTGGCCCGATGAATGACCTGTGAATTAAGTTAGCTCTCCAGTCATTTTCTTGTTTGTAAAAAGTGAGGGCAACGGCCTCATTTTTTCTCAAATTTGTTATTGTTATAACTCAAAGAGATGGCAAAACAAACACTGTACAGTCCTGAAAATGCTCTCCAAGTCTGTTATCCCATTACTTACCTGAGACTTGACTCATCTGCCCAGCATCACCACTGAGTGACAAGAGAAAGAGCTGCTGCAGGGATACAAGTGTGTAAGTACCGTATTTTTCAGACCATAAGACACACCTAGGTTTTAGAGGAGGAAAATAGGGGAAAAATTGAATAAAAAATGTGGTAAAATATTTAATAGCATAAATGACATAATATTTCACCAATGTACATGTAAACAGAACTCAACAGCAAGCATTAGGAACCATTATTCTTCCCAAATTGGGAGGGGGGCAGGTAGTGTGTCTTATAGTCTGAAAAATACGGTAATCTATTCCCCCTCCAGGCAGCTCTGACCTTTGGCAGTTTTTGTCTCCAGGGGAGCTGTCAGGCCTCAATAATTTCAGTCCTTGGAATCATAAAACAAACACAATCTAGCTTTCTAGTATTAAAACCAACAACAGTTAGTCCTCACTTAATGCCATGGGTAGGTTCTATGACTCCAAATGAAAACACAACCAATTTTACCATAGACTAATTGATACACACAAGATTTAAGTTCCCACATCTCCCTAATAATGTTATAGTGAAACAAAGTTGAATGAAACATTATTCGAGGACATGCTACATATTGTCTCTGGTTTTTCTTCTTTTTCTTTTTAAATCAAACATCCTTTTTCATCTATTCCTCCTATAATGAGGTTTGATTTGGGTAATTTTTGTATAGTTTTGGACCTATGAAATGGATATAATAATAATGAAATTAGAAGTGAAATGCATTTGAAAATAAGATTGGGTATACATTTTGGAGTTGATAGATTTTGATATCTAGGTAATATGTAAGAATCATATATTTTTAACATTTGTAATTAAACTCAGATAGATGTTGAAATCTTTGCTGACTGAGAATGAAAATGCCAGTATTAGATCTTACTATGTCCCAGACTCTATTCTCTGCTCTCTAAATGTATTATTAGCTCATTGAATTTTTATAACAGTCCTATGAACTACGCACTTCTCCGTTTTGGAGATGCGTTAACTGAGGCATAGAGACACTGAGTGTCATGAAACAGAAGTCATTCCAGTTATATATTGAAATTATACTGTAAAAGTAAATATTGTTAGAATATAGTTTTTCCCTTCCAATATACACTACAGTAGTGTTTGATAAATCTACTGTTCTTCATATTGGTTGCTGATTTATAGAATGCTTATTTATTATATGCTGGTTAATGTGCTGGTGCTTTTTTGTACTTTACCTCAAATAATCCTCACAGCTACCCCATAAAATTTAATCCCTACTTTATGGGCGAGGAAAATGAGAATACTTGTCCAAAGTCACTCAGCTAGAAAGCGGGGCAAGTCTTGACTGTGCAGCTCGCGCTCTGAAAGGCGCACTACCTCACCAACTGCGCTGCTTCGGCGTGCTCGGCTGTGCTGAGGCAGAAGTAGTAAATGCTTTTTCTTGGCAGCAGTGCCAACTACACTAGATACAAAGTACATGTGCGTACATTAGGCCAGTCCTTTGAAGTTAGTTAATTTCTTCTTTTCTACATTAATTTCCTAGCAAGCTTACTAGGTACATACGGAATGAAGACAAAGTCAAAACTTGATCTCTGAAGTAAAAGACCATAACTCTTTTATCCTGGGAAGATAGCAGCCAATGAGTCACATTGCTTATTATGGCTTTAAGGGAGATTTGGAATATTAAGTGGAACTTGAGGATGGAAGAATATTAGCGATAGTGTTTTAGCTTTTTACAAAGTTAGACTTCAACCTAGATTTAATTGGTGGTTCAAGCAGATTACCTAATACCCAATGTATGTACATTCAAATCCCTATCAAATCCCTATCAAATTAAATACAAATATACCTTTTTGTTGTCTGTTAGTCTCCATCATTTGTACATATAATTAGGAGTTAGGTGTACTTCTATGGTAAATGATGTGATTGCTTCCTCTAGCATTGTGTTTACCTAGTAGTACTGAACCTGTAGATAAAGCAGTTCTCAGAATATCAGATTCAGAATGTGCTTAAAGCTCTCCACTTAGACACTGAAGCATTGAGAGAAATTAGAACATGAGACTATTCAGCAAGGGAATTCAACTCTTCCTATTTCCCTGTTACTCAACAAGGGGATTAGCTCTGTCTCTCATATGTTGATAAGTACATGTCTCTGAAAACTTCTCCATTATATTCTTTTTTTCTTTGTACAATTTTGTTTTGGCTTTCTTTGGAGGTACTTGGTTTGGTCTGGGAGCTCTTCTTTGTAGTGCTTTGTCTGTGATCGTGCCACTTTTCACTTTCTTTTTCTCAGTGGAACTTAGAAGCATTAAACACATCTCTCTGACAGTTATATATCGAAATGAACTTTTTCTGTGATATGTGACTACTTGGCAATTCACCTCATCTACACAGATATAAATATCTGAAGGAAATGATAAATTTTTATGTGTACCTTAGTTAAAAAATATTCTAATCACAAAGCACCTAAAATTTCTCCTCCAAAAAATAAAGGAACAAAGGTAGCAAATGAATATATGTTGGTAGAGGAAAGCAGTACAAGAAACACTAGAGAAAGTTTTGAGAAGTAAAGGCAAGTGTATAAGTTTTGAAAATCGGGCTAACATTGATGCATTTATGATCAAAGACCAGGTCGTGACATGTGGTATATTCTGTGACATTTTGTTGTACAATCCACTACACTAGCTAGTTAGGTATATACTTCTCACAACCATAACCAAACATTTCTGGTACAGTGTTTGTTTTGTTTTGTTTTGTTTTTAAAGGAAGGCAGTGTTGGCACAGGGGATAAGAATCATTTGACAGTTCCCACCCTGAGTCTCTACAGTCGAATAGAACCAGCGCGTCCACACGGGTTAGGTGTGCTTGTTCACGGCATGGCTGTGTGCTTGCCCAAGCATTGTGCAAATGCTGTATTTGATGAGAAATACCAAATGGCTGTTTTTCAAGATATTTATTAATCACATGCATTTGCTGTATTAATTAAACACATATAAATACAAATCATCATATTCATATTTTTTGTTTTAGTAAGACAGATTTGTTTTGACAACTAAAAGAAATAATAATACAAGAGGAGACAACTCAATGTTTTAAATGAAGAAAGAGTGCCACTTTAACCAGCAGGAGCCTACACGAGGTCGCGGCATTTAGGTTTAGGGTATCTGTCTCTTTGGACCAGATTACATGTTATTTGAATCTACTGTGGTGTTGTTAGTATGTTTCATAAGACATAGTACAGAGCTGCTATGATCTTTAAATGTTAATGTTCTTTTCTTATCACTTTACTGTGTAGATACCCTTCATGAGACCCAACTCTGCCACAGCTCATCCTCGGAGGCAATCCTGGAAACCTCTTTTATAAGTGTGATTTTAAAAGTGTGGATAACACTCTCAATAGAGTACATAATGTAAAGGAGAACAGCTATCTTGTCCTTTCCATAATCTTATCACTGCAAAAAGTTGCCTTTGCTTGTCAGGTTTGGATAGAATGTAATTGATTGGTTTATTACTTGGACTGACAAGGCACTTAATTTGTGTGGATATTTTTCTATTTTTTCCTTCTACTTTTTTTTTGCACTAATCAGGAATATTTGCTATGTGCATTGTTGAAAAATATTAGATAACGTCTTGTCAGAATTGTCCTACTAAGTAATGTTTTTCCCTCTTGCTTCTTTGGCAAATGATGATATACAGTATTTGGATTTACTGAAGAGTTGTGGAAGCCTATGGAACTTAAATGCAATGTGCTACTTACTGCTGTCATTGACAATACCAGTAACGAGAAAGACAGTGCATTCTATTACTCTGCTATTATGTTTCATTCAACTGAATACATATATCCATATATGAAATGCTGCATTGAGCAACTATAGACTCTTACATTAAACATTTCTAATATTCAGAAGTGAAAGACTTGCAAAGCATATGTATTCTAGTTTTGACTTACTAGTCCTTGTGTGAAAGCACTAATATTATTAGCATGAAATTTTTACAACTTCACATTTTGAGCTTATAAGTAAGAATATATCTGTGTTGATCTCTAGATGGTTTTAGTAATGCCCAAATTTATTCAGTCTTCATTGATTTAATATGAACTTTTTGTGTTCAGTATAATTTTATCTTTCTCAACCTTAAGGATAAGGTTAAGAAAAATAAGGAGGGAGATACAAAGCTTATTGACTATACAGCCTGCCAGCTGAAAGATCTTCATCAATATCTTTATTTTTCCAGGATTTACAGAATTAAAATTTGATCTTCAAGCTATAATGATCAAGTTTTAAGTCAACTACAGAAATATGTCAAATATTTCATCACTCCATCTTGAACTGACTTAGAAGAGACTCTTTGTTGAAATTGAAATTCACATACACATGTAAATTGTCAACTTGTTTCTTAGAGTTTCCTGATTTGTAAATGTGGTTTTGGGCATCATTTCAGGTATAGTGGCAATTGAAAATAGTTTACATCTTTAGGAGTAGAGTAGGCAATGTGATACATAATCAAAAGCAAGTGTAAATATAAAGTTTCTGTATGCTAGTAATGAATAGTTATAGTAAGCAACCATATTACTGGATGTTTACTAAAAATAGTATGTATAAACTTAGATTAACTTATTGAAAAATTGTATAACATTGGAGGAAAAATATTAATAACCTGTAGCAAAATGAGTAGGCTTATTTTTTAAGAATAAGAATGGACTCATTGTTTATTACTATGTAAGTTTAAGAAAAATGTTGCTAATTATTATGATTGCTGAAGTCCAGCTGATTTTAAGAAAAATTACAGATTGCCATTTTCTTAAAAGAATGTGCTAATGAACTAGACCCTGGCCTTCCTTTGATATATGGTCTGAAATGACTAGTGGTCATTTTATGTTACATTTCTTGAGAACTCATTAAGCCTATAGTTTCGGTATCACTATGAATCAAAATCCCTACCATGGTTCTAATTAGAATACTGCATTGTCATCATTCTCCATCTTGCAGTCTTCAGTGGTCAGTAGGCTATTCCAGATTTGGTGCTAGCCCTAGGAATCTGTCTCACACATCACAAATATAAACTGCATAATTCATAAATATTTGGTTCTAGAAACATGTATTTGGAATAGGAGAACTTTTGAAGGGAGTGGAAAACACTTTCTCCTGATAATCTCCTGAATGCTGTCATATTTCCACAGTGTAAAATTAAATCTTTTCTGTAATTGGTCCAGTTGCTATTCAAAGGAGATATTAATAGGTACTTAAGAAAATATGAACCAACTCACAGACATATGTGAGAGAAAACAGCACAACAGATAAATGATGGCTTTTTGTATTGCAATAGGAAAAGAAAAAAAAAAACACTAAAATACCAGGAAGGAAATTAAAAGATCTGAAATACAAGAATGATGTGGTGGTATATAGCAATGGTTCTCAAACTTTACATTGCATCATAATCATAGGAAGATTTGTTAAAAACAAATACATTTCCCTCCTTATCCTCCTTATCCCATGGTACTCCTTCCTTCTGGCTCTCAGGAGTTTCTGATTCGGTGTGTCTGTGATGGGTCTGAAAATTTGCATTTCTAACAAGTTTCCAAGTGATGCTGATACCACTGGTCAGGGACATCACTTTGAGAATCATTTGTGTATAGCACTTCTAAAAGAATCATTGTGTTGTAGCTGACGTTTTTCTTTTAAGATTTTACTTATTTATTTTTTAGAGAGAGGTGAGAAAGAGAGGGAGAGAAACATTGATCCGTTGCCTCTCATACGCCCCCAACTGAGGACCTGGCCCGAAACCCAGGCACAGGCCCTGACTGGGAATCGAACCACTGTAACCTTTCTGCTTTCAGGCCGGCACTCAATCCACTGAGCCACACCAGCCAGGGCTGTGGCTGATATTGATTGGTTGAATGTTGCTTTAATCTCTTTAAAAGGGCCCTTACATTTTCAAACATATTTGTTTCTAGATAAAAAAAAAGTGGTAATTTTATCACAGCACATACACTATACAACACATATGTTACTCTCATAAATTTAGTTAAATGTTTATTTTATTTTATACTGATAGTGGGGGAAGCAATACTTTAGATTCAGAAGTGAATCAAAAAACATGTATCTTCATCCATAATCCACTAATTCCTTTTAAAAAAAGATTTGAAATTAGGGTTATTTTTTAACATGAAAACAAAATTTAGCCTTAGCCTTTATCCATCTTAAATTTGGAAGAATAATAAAGATGTAGAAATTCTTTATCATTTATATATCTTTATTATTTATGATATTAAAAATAGACTGCTGACCATAAACAATAATATTCACACCCATTATCTTACTTACTGGTTTTATATTCTATCACTTAATGATACTACTCTCTTTTTAAACACTTAGTGTTCTTTATTGACAAAACTTACCACTGTTTTACTTGATTCACAGTATGGGAATATTTTATGAATATTTCACCAAAACCTATTCACAAGGACTCTTTGCAGCACAATGGAATATTAACATTATTAATTTCGTTTTCTTAAATTGTTTTTGACAATTGTAACTTGTATAAGAGATTCCGTTTTAGTATTGTATAGCATATGAAGGCAGAAATTGCTTTCTACAACCTGAGTCAGCACTTTGTCAGTTTTACATATACTACGGATTGTGATTATAAATATTTCTGAGATGGACGTGTTTTGCAAATGCATTCTTAATAAAAATGCAGGCCCCTTTCTCCCAGCACTCGCTCAAAGACTTTCTGCAGGTCTGCTGATAAGATTCACTGCTGTTCAGGTACAGAAGATGTAATGAAATTGGACGCTCCTGCTGGGCTTTGTAAATAAAATGAGATTGACCCCCAGCCATTATCTCATTTATCTGATTTACATGGTAAAATTAAGACCTACACTATTGATTAGAGCATAATTAGTTCATTATGAACAGGTAAATTCAAAGTTACGTGGGGCTTGAGCCCAGCAGGTTGTACTGCTGAAAAATTTCCCAGGGCATGAGCAGATGGAGATCAGTTTATTCAAGAACATAGCAGACAAGTTCAGGTATGGAAATGTCGAGTCATTCTCTCGTGCTGTGAAGAGGTATTTGACCTTACTGTGTATTTTTATATAATTCTTTTATTTCATATTTCATTTTTTCACTTTTAATCCTGTAATTTGGTTGTGCAGATGTAGTTAACTGAAAAGATCCCATTATTTGATTATTAAAATGAATTTGGATTTTGATATAATATAATTTCATGTGTAAAGGATATTTTTGTCTTCCTTACCACACATTACTGGCTTTGATAAAAGTCTGAAGTGGCGTGAACAAAAGTATGTTGAAGACTTCCACATTAGTCTTATGTTTGTGAAATATGATAAAGACATTTTCTAGTTACTTTGTTTAGAAAATGATTATATAAGTGGTTTACACTAAAATTGTTGTAAAATATGAGGAATAAAATATGTCTATATTGATATTAACTGTTATTTGAATATTGGTAGATTGCAGAATTTTGTGCATATTTGTATTCTGTTAAAAGTGATTCAATTCATGGGCCACAGGCCTGCACTTTCTCCTTTTGAAATAATTGGCTACTGTTCAATGAAAGACTCTATCACTACCGGTTAATAGATTTGTGTAATGTTCAAGCTGCTAGTGAGATTTTATTTAAGTAATGTTAAAATTCAAGACCAATTCTTTTGATCTTTCCTGTAGAGAATTTTTACATTGAAATGATGGAAAAGTAAGAAAAGCAATCCATGAACTATCCTGATATTTAGGGTTTTCTTTAAAGTGAACCAATATAATAGCATGTATGTTCAGAGCCAGTACTTTATTTGTCTCAATACGGACTTGGAAGGGATCTAAATAAATGTGTCATGGACAGAAAAAACAGCTTGATTATGAATCAACTTGATCATAAAAAATGTACATTCCTTTTCAAATCCCATGTTGGGGATAGCTCTTCTTCCTGAAGTTTAGCTTAACATCTGGCCACAAATTATATGCATAGGAGGTGCACTTAATTGTTTCTGTTAGTTTAAAAAGTAGTTACTGTGCTCTCCTAGTGAAATTACCAATTGGACATTAGGGGAGTTAAATCCTCTGGAACACTGGCGTTTAGCCTGTCTCTTGGGCACAAAAGGAAATATATCAATTGTTTCTTTTTTACTTTTGTATGTATATTCTCAGCAATCAGATAAACATAACTGCTTGTTATGGATCATGGACATACAAACATAAATCATTTTCGTCCTCTTCTTTGTCTAGGGTGCTATACTTAACCATAGGCTAAGTAAGTATTTTAAATATACAGAGAACCATGTTTGCTTACCGCATTTTGTTAAATCAACGTGCAAAAGAGTTTACTCAGCTACTTTGTTATTTACATCTGTATCCATTATTAATCTGATGCCTAGAAAATTGTATTTAGTAAAAATCCAATGAAACAGTCCGTTTTCCTTTTATAAATGGGATTCATTTAATTTCATTTAAATTGTAATTTTAGAGTGCCCTATAGTGTTAATGTAGACAGTATTTATTAGATGTTTAAAAAATACTTCTTTAAGCATCCAGTTTGCATTTTATTAAAAATTTGATAGTGTTTCTTTACAGGTTAGTTTTATATTCTCTCAATATTTTAAGACCTTTCCTTCCTATTTAACATATGTACTATTGGTATGTTATAATAGTCTGTTTTTATTACATAGACATTTGCATTATTTAATAAAGTATATTGTGCTGTGTCACTGTGCTTTTGTGGGTCAATGACTTCTTTTGCAGAAGATTTTAAAAACATTTTATTCACTGTTTATTTTGATAAATTAAATATGTACTGTCATTATGCTTCCAAGTATATGGAAGAAGTAGAGGTAGGGACCAACAATAATAATTTGATTGTTAACTATTTCAAAGTCAATTTGCTTTTTAGGTAGCAGAATGATTACAGATCTTTATGAGTTGCTGATTTTTGAGTTTTTAAAAATTATATAAATTTGTAACAAATCCAGATTTTGTTCTGACAGAATTGGCTAAAGCTTACAAAGTGGTGTGTGTGTACATGAAATAAGTAATACACTATTTTTACTATTTACCTTGTACTTAAATTTCTAGTATTCTTAATGGTATCTCCTATGTTTATCTATGCTATATTAATTTTTGCAAATTCTGCTCAAGTTTGCTGTGTTATTCAGGATATTTTTGTAAGCAGCACATAAATATGTCTTCAGTTCAATATTCTAGTGTAGAAACAAGCAGACATTTTTCCAGATGGAAACAATTTTAGTCATTTCTTTAAAGAGCTTATATTAGTATATTTGTTATTAATAGAGCTAATGATTTCAAGATAGAGATACTTCTTTTGTTTTTCTCTCCTGGATTTTGGCAGAAGTGTATCAGCTACTCCTCTTTGCTATTTAGTCTTGGAATTGCAGTCTGGTTTACTGATGAGTGAGCTCTGTCTGAGTTGACAGAGCTCCCAAATCACCCATAGTTCTGACCAGCAGCCTCCTTGCCTCTGGAACCTGTCACAAGTTCAGTAGAGCTCCACATGCAGACTGAGCCATTCTCAAATGTACCACAACTGAAGGGATCAGTAAGGATTGGGTCATTGCTAAGTGGCATGTGCTTCAACATCATCTTCCAACAAATCTAGCATGTAAAACCTCTCTTTTCCCTTTTGCATTTATTCTTGAGCTGAAAGATAACTTGATTTTACAGTTAATTGAAATCATCTACAAACTGGGACTATATCAATGTAACAAACTTGTTCTTAGTCTAATAACTGGAAATTCATAGATATCCCAACAAGAATCACCTGTGTAGAAGAGGGTAAAAAAATAATGAATTAAAATTCTCCTGTATATTCATTCTGGTGTTTGACTTGAATTATATACTATAAATATTAATTTTCAAATTATTATTATACAGTTATAAAGTAAATATGCTGTAATTTGATATGAACTAGGGAGACATTAATACTATATCTCTTCACCTATCAAGAGCCCAGATTATTGGCATTGTGAGATGTAAGGAACATTGCCAGAATCCCTGAAGTTAAACAGAAAAGACTATATTTACCAAAAATTGAGTCCATTTACTTAGTAGAAATTCTCATTTTCATGCCTTTGTATTGTCAATTTGCCATAGCCTACTAAGGTCAGTGATCTGGTTTCTGAATCCATCACGAAGTGTGGTTGGGCAAACACTGCTTAGACAAATCCCCTGACAATGTTAGAAAGCAGTGGCTGACCCTGTTCAAGCAAGTGAGGACTCTGAAAACTGGTGAAAGTTCAATGTAAGAATTCAAACCCAGCAGCAGAAGGATGGCACCCACTGCAGGCACACTGGTAACCACGTAGCACGTCTGGTACTCATACTCATGACCCGGAGATGACAAAGACAGTGTAATTATGTTTTATGTATTTTCTTGATAAAGTAAAGAATGTGATTTTCAAATTTCCCTTTCAAAGATGATTGAAATACTAGTTTTCATGCTTGAAGGAATATGCCCTCAACTACCTAGAAATTTCAACATTCTCATAAACTCAGAAATGTTTATACTCTGAAGGTTCCTATAACCATCCATATATTTAATGTAATTAAAAATTTAACTATTGAAAGGTAAATAAATTAAAACATAAAATTGTGTGGCCTTGCCATTTAGTCTATATTACATTTGATGTTAGCTATATATCATCTATTATTTCTTTTTGCCTTTTTAATTTTATTTTAATTTTTCTGATTTTTTGATTTAATGTTTATTGTATTTTTTCCATTACCATTTAGTCCCCTACACTCCCCTCCCCTCCCCTCCCCCTCGCAATCACCACACTGCTGTCCGTGTCCATGAGTCCTTTTTCCTTTTTGCTCAATCCCTCCACTCCCTAACCTCCCCAACCCACTAGCTGTCATCTGTTCTCCATCTATGAGTCTGTCTCTTGTTTTGCTTGTTCAGTTTGTTCATTAGATTTCACAAATGAGTGAAATCATAATGGTGTTTGTCTTTCTCTGACTGGCTTATTTCACTTAGCATAATGTTCTCCAGGTCCATCCATATTGTTGCAAAGGGTAAAATTTTCTTTTTTATGGCTAAGCAGAATTACAATGTGTAAATGCCCCAAAGTTTTATCTACTCATCTACTGATAGACATTTGGGTTTATTCCATATCTTGGTGATGGTAAATAATTCTGCAATGAACATAGGGGTACTTATGTTCTTTTGATTAGTATTTTGGGTTCCTTCAGATAGATTGTTGACTCTATTACAGATGTTGCCTTTTTTTCCCCCTTTGCCTACCTCCACCCAGCCTCCACCCACCTCCTCCCAGCCTTCACCCCCCTTCCCTCTGGCCATCATCACACTGTTGTCTGTGTCTGTGGATTATGCATGTATGATCTTTGGCTAACCTATTATTTCTTAATGTTAGAACACAGATATTTAAATATTTTAACTGCTTTTAAATATAATTTTGGATAGTTCATTTATAACACTGATAGAGTAAATAAAGTACTGTTATTCTTATTTGTTTTTATTTTTTCCATGGCTAGAATTATGATAGCAAACATTTTTTTCCCCAATTCTATATCTTGAGTCTGAAAGAAGATTTTTGGAAAGGTACATAAGATTATCTGGTTCATAAGGAGAAAGATGTAGATGAAGAAATGAGTAAACTTATGACATATAATTGTGTATTAAGCTTCTTTGTACTTGAATAACTTAGATAAGTTGCTAACTTTTCTGAGAAAAACTCTTGATTCTTAAAATGGGTCTTTGGGAGATTGGGTTTTATAGCATTACATGAAATTTTTAGTTTGCATGTATATTTATAATCCCCTTTACTGTGATGGTTTTTAAAAATCAGTTGTTTTTGAGTGTTTATAATAGCTGCTTCCCCTTTTTCCTCAGAAAGGTTATTACATAGGAATTAGTATATATTCAAGTAATGTGGGTCCTGTAATTTTCCCCTTGGTTGCTTAGTTGCGGATTTTTCAATTTTTAAAGTTTTAAATCAGTGACAGAAACAATATTTAAGGAGAATTTGACAAATTGATTTGGAGAAAGTATATTTTAATTTAAAAAAAGCACAAAGAAAAGGAGGAATAAAATTCTTTCTATAAGATATATACATCTTTGTTATTTGTTGTTAAATTTTGGTCTTGTTATTCCAACTGATAAATTCTTTTTATAAGACACTGAAATAATACAGATCTTTCTTCATTGTCAGCAGGATGAGATTGTCTGAAACGAAGAATAGGTATGATAGTTTTCTTAGATTTTGTATATCATAGGTGGCAAAGATACTATCAAAACATTTATTAATAAGATTTTAAATGTACTAGGAGGTCGTTTGAAAAACCAAATACACTGAGAAAAAGTGACAGGTAAATTTTGAGAAAATTTATATTTGAGAAAATAATATCTAGTTCTTAGAATGGTTGTTATTTGCAATAGATTGTAGTAGCATGCTATACACATAGAAAGTTTATTTATAATCTATATTAACTTTGAGAAAGTGATGAGATATAAATTGTGTAGAGTTGATTATTTACTTGTATATGTAGCCTGTAGAATTCTTCAGATCTCTAAAAATTTTAGAACAATCACAATGTATTGATTTAAATTTATAATTTTGAATTATGTGTATTGCATTGTTTTTAAATTTTATTCTCATTGTTTATGCTGTTAGTTTTTGCTGCTTTTTCTCCCTTTCTCCACCTCCACCCAGCCCCACCCTCTACCTTCCCCTAGCTAATCCTCATATTGTTGTCCATGTTCATATGTTGCGCATGAATATTCTTTGGTTAATCTGTTCATCATGTTTCATCCTGTTCTTCTCCTCACCTTGCTCCCTCCTTCAGGCAGCTATCAGTCTCTTTTATGTATCTAAGCTTCTGTTCCTGTTTTGTTCGTTAGTTTATTGTATTCATTAGATTCCACATATAATTGAGATCATATGGTATTTTTCTTTCACTGAATGGCTTATTTCACTTAGCATGATTTCCTCCAGGTCCATCCATGCTGTTGCAAAATGTACGAGTTGTTTCTTTTTTACTGCTGCATAGTATTCCATTGTGTAATTGTACCACAGCTTTTTTATCCATACATCTACTGATGGGCACTTAGGCTGTTTCCAAATCTTGGCTATTTTTTTTTAAGCTATCTAATGGGCAAATGATTACTTCTTGAAGTTCAAAGCTGATATTGTCGTGTTAGTTTTAAACACACATGGCTATACACATACATTTATTCATATACTCTTAACATTTCTATTTTCAAAGTGTTCTGAATGATATTTTTTTTGTTAGATTTACTGTTATATTTTGTTTTTTTTACCATTATGATTTCATGTTTAGATTGTTTTTTGTCATAAACATTAATAATCTTATGAGGTAATGGTAGAATTAACAGTGTTAAAGTTGAAATGTGCAATAGTTTGCTATTTATCTTTGAAAGAGGATTTTAAAAATATTATTTAGGTATATCACAAATCTGTTTACCTTGCAGGTGTGATGAATGCAGACTGTGCTACCATTTTGGCTGTCTGGATCCTCCTCTGAAAAAGTCTCCTAAACAAACAGGCTATGGGTGGATATGTCAGGAGTGTGATTCTTCATCTTCTAAGGT